GAAAATCAATGACAACGCTTACGTGGTGGGTCTGTCTGCAGAGTTCAACATTCATCCCTCTATTAACATAGGATTCACATAAAACATGCTGCAATTGCATCTCATCTCCTTAAATGGAACACATAATTGAACAGAACAATAATAATTATAACCTTCATGCTGATTCTAAAAGACAATTTAAAACTTTTGAGTTTGGTAACTTAGTGATGGTGTGGATTCGTCTTGAGCGGTTCCCATAAGGAACTGTAAAGGAATCACATGCTAGAAGTGTGGGACCACTTAAAACAGTCAAGAAAATCAATGACAACGCTTACGTGGTGGGTCTGTCTGCAGAGTTCAACATTCATCCATCTATTAACATAAAGACTTAACAACCTATGAGGGTCCAGAGTTTAACCCACCAAATCCACTTCAAATTGAGTCTTGTGCGACCCCATCCTGTGAGAACCTCAACCTACCTCCACTCCCAAATATTCCCAAATCAACCATAATGAAGAAGGTTTACATGATTTCGAGTGATGACATTATTTTCACAAATGAGGGTAGACGAAGAAGAACTCTGATAAGGTGGAGAGGCAGAGTCAGATGATACATGGTCAGAGCACGAGGAGCAATAGCAGATCGACGCGGATGCACGAGAGTTCTCGAGACACCCACTCGACGGAATAGACATTTCTCCCACCCATGGAGAATGATGAGAACATCAAATATCAACGGCTACGATCTGGAGTTTATTTTTTTATGTGTTTTATGTACTAGTTTATTTTTTATTTCTGTTTTTTTCATTTTACCCCTAGGGGTGGTCATGTGGTGTTGTAGCCCGAAGGACAGGAAGGGCATTTTAGTCATTGTTTTTCTTTTCTTTTCATTAGATTTATTTATAGACTAATTCTCTTATATTTTAAGTTAATGATGAATATGAATAAAAATTTAAGCTTTCTTGTTTTTGATCTCTTTGTGAGTTCTTGATAGAAGAAACCCTATAAGAGAGTCACGCATCACCCGTCCATCGGTGAATTCCGCGACTCGCGGTTAGTACTCGTAGTATTTTCTTATCGTCTCTACCTTTCCCCTACATCCGGCCACCTCTTCTTCCCCAAACACCCGCCAGCCACTTCAAGTCCCCAAGCCGTCGGTCAACCTCAACAAGATCCCTTCCACTTAACCCGCACCCCTTCCTCCTTAGCCAAACGCCACCCAAACCCCAAACCCTAACCGCCAGCCTTCCCCTCCCATGGATCCAAAATTAATTTTCTTGCCTCTTTTCAAAAGTGGAGCATGAAGATTAGGAGGGAGCTCCAACTCAAAATCTGATTTCAAATTCAGATTTTGAATTCTTTCCTAAATTGACATAATTCATATTAGAAAAGTACTCAATTCGTGGATCTAGGTTACCTAGCCCAAGCCCTTGGCCGCCAGCTTGAAGCCTCCACACACTGGCCCCTTGCTCCACCACCAAAAGCCGCAGGCCACATCCTTCTCCCCCACAATAGCCGTCGGCCACATTATTCCCTCCAAACTTTTGAATTTGAATCCACCATAAATGCTTTCTTAATTTAGCCCCACTAATTTATAACGAGAATTAAATTCAAATTCAAAATATTTGAATTTCAAAACTCTTCTTAAATTATCCTCTCCTTTAATTTAGGAAAAATCACCAATCAACTTAAATCTGAAATTAATTTTAGATTTAAGTATTTAATCCCCTTAATTATTTGGGCCCACCTCCTTAATGTCTAACCCCTCTCTCTCTCTCTTCTCTCCTTGGCTGACCCCTTCCCCCTCCTCTCTCTAATTAATTAGGTTCCATAAATTAAGGATCTAATTAATTCAATCTCATCCTCACTTTCCTTCCTTCTCACTCATTTCAATTTCAAATTTCAGGGAAATTACTCTCCAATTACTCACTAGATCTGAAATTATTTTTAGATTTAACATTTTCCCTTCTTCCCCTTTGCTTGGCCGAACCTACCCGATCCCTTCCAAGTTCCACCTCTCACTCTCTACTTTCTCTATTAGACAATCATGCATGGCCGACCCATATGTTAATTATGGGTTTGTAGAGGATTCTCTAGATCGGACTGACATTCTCTGATATCCATTCTTCTATTTCAATTTGGACGTCAATGACTCCGTGGAAAGCTACATTGAACACATCATCTTCATGTTGGCACCGTCAATTGAGGAACACCTACCAATCGGATCTTGGATGATCGTGGGATGTCAACCAATCCATACGTCGTCGGCTACCTTCGGTGAACTCTTTCCCTCACTCTTTATTTTTCTCGTTACTTTCCATTGTGGAATTTAATTGATTCATTGAGATCGTGTTAGTCCTCCGCTAAAGCCTAGTAAATTATAGAATCGTGTGAGGGATCCTTCATAGTATTAATCTCATTATTAGTCTAGGATTTTTTTGTTGAGACTTTCCATGTATGCAATTTTAGACTAATAGGTTGTTTTACGGGCTTAACTCCTACACATGTGATTTAGCCTAAACTTATGTCACTGCTCTTTGTGTTTTATGTTGTCGCTCGAAATCACTATAAAGATATAATTATTGTGCTCTAAATATTAAGCGTGCAAAGTCCTTAATCTAATCATCCTTGCATGTTTGGTTTCACATCGGGATCCTAATAAGATCTATTCAAGGTGCATGAAGAAGAGATTCTCAATGATAAAAAAAAAAATTATCAATATTTCCATCTAAGTTATTAGCAGATGTAAAACTACAAACAATTGTGTGAAAAGTCATTGGATCCACATGAATTCATGAATTGCTTCTCGAGAAATATGTTTCCAATGAGGAGCCTCAAAAGGCCTACATGACATGAGAAAGATAAGAGAAGTGGAAGGAGGAGAGGATTAGAAGGAAAATATGATACCTTTCAATAATTTCATATGATGATAAATAATAACATTTTTCATATCATTCTTTATATAAATATATTTATATTTAAAATTAAACTAATTTAAACTTAAATGAAGATAAGCACCATCAGCTCTAAAAAATAGAAAATAATCTAAGAAAAAGGATAATTCCATCTAATTTATTAAAAAATAGAAAATCCAAATAATGGAATTAAAAATAAATATAATTTTTTGACTAGTTTGATTTAAATTCAATCTAAAGCTTGTCATGAATATGGGCTTGGGTCCTGCACATGGGTGTTGTGTTGCAACATGGAGCCTTGCAAGAAAATAATCAATGAAGAAGTCCACTTACAAGGCTCGACCAAGTGAGTATTGTTAGGATTAAGTGAGAATAAAAGAATGGTGTTCAATTTAAATAAGAGCAATGAAAATTAAAAAGAGTGGCACTAGTCTTACTAGCCAATGAAGACATATTCCACTTTTTGAACGCTCTTTTGATCATCCTTCTTTTTTTATTTCTCCTTGATAGCAAATCCATTCTCTCCTTCAGGGCTCAAGTAAAGAGGTAGAGAGAGACTTAAGAGGAGAGCAAGCTCCAAGAGAGTAGAGAGAAAGAGGCTTGTTTTGGGAGGAGAGGAGCTAGTTGGAGAAAGAATAAATTGAAAAGAAATAGGCTTTTTTTTCATTCAATGCACCCATACAAATCAATTACACAGGTTGTCCTAATAAAAAGGAGAAGAGTACATGAAATAATAAGAAATAAACCTACTTATCCATAAATTTAGTTAACTAGAGATAATCTTCTTTGCATAAAGGTGATAGGCCGCAGATTTTATATTGAGGAAAGGGTTGAGTTTTTAAGCAATTAAACTCCTACCTATCCCCATTGAAGCTCATCCTTTTGCCATTAGGTTCTCCTTATTAACATTTAAAAAGTATTTATTATGCTCATCCTAATGCTGGCTGATGTAAGGACAAGAGAGAAGATAATGAAACATATTTGTGAGTTTTCACACATTCATATAATTATATTTACAAGATCAGCAACACTCTTCATGTCACATAAAAAAATAATGTTTTCTAATTTGTAGTTGAATAATACTAAAAGGGTATGCTTAAGCATTAAATTAAAATTTTCTTTGTTATTATATGATGCTTTAATTTGGAGTGGGTGTTCTGAAACTCATTACTTGTTTACACATTGGGCATTCATTTAATCAAGTTGGGTGAATTTACACTTTTTTACATATAGATGGAAATCAATATTAAATTCAAATCAAAAGATATAGTACCTACTACCTAACTCAATAGTTGAACAACCTATATGTAAAAAGAGCGTGATTTTACTTCCATTTAATATATTGTAGTAAATTTAAAGCAATACACTTCTAACTCAATCCTTGGACTAAATGCATCAATGAAGACCTTTATCTCATAACATGTGTACAACCAATATTAACTTGATCATTAATGAAAATTTTCACATTTTAAGCCAAGTTCTGAAACTCATTTCAAGTTTACAAATTGGACATACAGAGTAGTGTGAATGTACGTCATTTTTACACATATAGATGGAATTCAATCTTAAAGATTTGATATCTAACTCAACCATTGAACTGCCAATATTTAAAGAGAGCGAGATTTTACTTCCTTTTAAAATACAAGGTAGTTAATTAGAATAAAAGAATGCACTTCTAACTCAATCATTTGACTAACTATAACAATGAAGACCTTTATCTCAGAACATGTGTACAACCAATATTTATTAGAACATTAACGAACTTTCAAAAATTTTAAGCCAGTTTCTAAAGGAATCAGTTGTTGATTGAAGGCTACAGTTATTTTGTGCGGCTATTTAATTTTCTTCCTGTAGAATTTCATTTCTGAAATTTGATATAGCTTACTGGATCCACATGCTGAAAACATGTTCTTTGCTTCCATAGTTTGAGCAAGCAAGCAGAGAGTTCTGAAGACAGTCACAATGTACTTATGCAAATTAGTGATTAAACCTAATACTGAATATAAAGATGAAAATAAACAGGAATTTATGGTAAAAGGTTAGTTATGCTTGGTGTCATCACCCTAAGATAGAATTGACTAGACAATTAGAAACTTCTCATGTTTACCTCGCTTGAGGGCATATTAAATTCATCAATCTGTCTAAGCAAGTCTGCAGCCAAATCGGAAGCATCCACTGGGGGCAACAAAACTGAGACATTTGAAATAGTTTGTAGGAGAGACACTCGATCTCTAGCCCATGAGATAGAACTAGGCTCTTCTCCATCAGGAGTTCCACCTTTGTCTTCCTTTGCCTTGTCAAGGAGCTTCCAATGATGCAGCAGGAACTTCCACTCAACTGCCTTGGGTGTGAACAAAGAGACCTCTGAGAGAAGCTGCCAAGCACCAATAGGGGCTGTCCACCTCTCTATAGACATGCAATTTCTCATACACAAGGATTCTGAAATTGATATGATGTTGGCAAGTGAAATAGCAATTGAAGGCTTAAGCATCTTCTTCTTCCCAAGGCTACTGCATATCTTCCTCACACATGGAAGAACTTCCCCATCACATATCCCTTTCAACAAAGCCAACACTCCTTCAGGAAGTATTGATTCCAGGTCTTTTGCTGTATCACTAATACTGACATGTGAAGCTCTGGATATTCGATCCAACACCAACTCAAGAAACAAATTCTCACATTCTTCCTGTACACTAGTCTCATTGTCTGCAGTCAAACGAGGTACAACATGAAGCCATTCGGAGATAATCCCCTCATCTGGAAATTGTCTATAGACCTTCAAAGCCCACACAACAGAGCTGATTAACACAAATTTAATACTACTTTGAAATCGAAGTACCAAGAAAAGAAATAGAGAAGAGACAAGAAGAGCAAAAGATTGAAACCGCTAAGAAATCTTGTCAAAAAAGAGTAACCCCGATGGTTACCTCTGATATAGCAGACACAGCAGCTTTACGGATGCTAACAAGAGGGTCCATGCATGCAGATCCTACGGTCTTTAATACTAATTCGTCAATTGGTCGGCCCATCAAAATTGTTGACTTGGTGATTAGAAACAGCGCTGCCTTCCTTACTGCAGCTTTCTCATCTGAACATCTCTTTCTGAGGAGCTCATTAAACTTCGCATTTCGAAATGCTACTCCGTCCTGCAAACGAGCAGAATTCCTCGCATCCCCAGATAAGTATTCAATCACCTGAGCCATGCTTGTTAGTGCTCGAGCTCGAACTCCTCCCATGGAATCAGAACAACGCAACAGCAAAGCCTTCAAACATTTCACTCCCCAACAGCTAGAACTTTCCATTGATTCACATACTCCCAGTGGGTCAGGCAACGAAGTTAACAAACCGAGAATCAGATCAACCGCCAAAAGTCTTAGCTGCCACTTTCCTTGCGCCATCTTCACCACGTACTCTGCAAACCCAATTTGTTCATCCTTCTCAAAAGCCCTAACAACCTCCAAGATCGCATCCACCGTCGCAGCTCTTGGCTCGGCCCTCTCTGGAGCATTCGAAGCGAGATATCTCGGAAAATAAACCAAAGCCTTCCTGACCTCCCCATTCTCCCGAGCCAAGGGTGCAATTTTACAGGCGATGAAACTAATGGTGGCCGTTCGCAAAGCTGACTTCAAGGGAGAGGAAAGGACGACACGGGCAAGAGATCTGAGAACGTCGACGGCGATAGCAGTTTGATCGCCGTGCTCGGGGCGAGATACGGCCGAGTAGAGAATTCGAAAACAGACGCCTGAGAGGCGATGCTGGTCGGTTGTGGAGGAGGAGAGTATGGCGACGACGGTGTCGACGAGGGACTTGACACCATCAAGCGAGGAGTCCAAGCGGATACGGGAGAGGACGGAGTCGAGGAGGTCAAGTACAATGGGGAGGAGATCTCCGACATCGGGGGAATCATCAACTCGTTGATTGCCGCGAGGAGCGCGGCCTTGCTTGCGTTTCCTCCGGCGGTCAGGCGATGGTGGGGAGGGGAGGGGTTTGAGAGCTTGACGGAGGGAGCTGAGAAGGGAAATGAAGGCGAGGGGCGAGAAGAGGGAGAGGACGGGGGCGGAGGGTGTGAGGATGAGGGAGAGATAGACACGGGCAGCGAGGAGAGAGGTGTGAGAGGAGGGAAGGTCCATGGCAGCGGAGAGGGGACGGACGAGAGAGGAAGGAGAAAGACCGGCTGCGGCGAGATGGGACCAGAGGGGGAAGGCGGCATCATCACTGAAGGCGCTGGACTTGGCCGAGGAGGGGGAGGGAAGGAGGAATTCGAGATCAAGAAGGGAGGATTCGGGAAGAGGGACTTCGGAGGTGAGGGATTCCAAGTCGGAAATGAAGCAGGAGAGCCTTTCGTCGAATTCGCCCCCGTTCATGGCGCCGCCGGAGGAATTCGCGTCCCCCGCACTCAAGTTTTGGTTTTCCCGCTCAGGGAGGAAATGCGCAGTTTAAGCATAGCGTGGTTTTTGCTCGCCCCTCACTGTACTGATTCGAACTCCGCACCAAATAATTTCTCGTTTTCTAGGGATTCGGCTGCAACTTCAAGAAAAAGCTCGTAAAAGAGTTTTGTTTTGTTTTTTTTTTTAATTAGGAGCAAATATTTTCAATTTCATTTAAAAAATAAACTGTTACAAAAAGAAATATTAATTTTGTAAGAAAAATAAGAAAAGACTTACAAAGCTAAGCTAATAAACTCCTTAAAATGAGAAAAAATATTAAAAACAGATATGACTAACAAAAAATTAATCCACGATAATAAAGAATCAAAGAGGAAAATCCTCCAAATCAACTGCTCAACAGGCAACTAGCAACTCTCATACTAATCTTCAGGATAAGATGCTAAAAATAAGCAAACCAACTCCAGTGAAACCTAGGCCATCAGAAGAAAATCTATTGGGTATCAAAGAACCCGACTACTTCGCTGCACGGGGGAAGGTGAAAGTAATTCTCTGCCTCACCAAGGAAATTTTATTTGGTCCGGTAACCTGACGTAGCTCTACATTCGGTGAGCAGTAAACAGGCGCCACGTATCCTCACTATTTACCACGCGGCCTGACAACCCGACCCGGAACGGACCCGGGAGTTTGTGTATTGCTCGGTATTGCTAGGTATTTGCTCGATTTTGCTCAACAAAAAAGAGAAATACCATTCTGTGAAATACTGAGTAATACCGAGTTCTTTTAGGTATTACTCGGTATTGCTCGGTATTGGTCTTCACAGAGCGGTATTTCTTGTTATTGCCAAGCAATACCGAGTAATATCTAGCAATATCGAGCAATACGCGAACATAGTAATCCCGAATTTCGGTGCGAGACTGGTCGTTGGGCCGCGCGGTAAAGAGTAAGAGCACGTGGCAACATATTATTGGCTGCCGGACGTAAAGCTACATCAGGTCACCTGACCTAATAATTTTTCCTCACCAAGAGAGTGAAAAAGAACCTGGGTTCTCTGCCTCACTAGGAGGGTGAAAAGTAGTCAATGTTCTTTGCTTGTGAAAGGAGCACGGTTCTCTGCCACACCAGATTTGTGGAAGAGAATTTGTAAGGGCTTATTTGCCTAGCTGTGGGGGCTAAAGAAGAAACATTATAGTGATAGTGCAATACCCGGAGCGGGTGACTCCAGGGAGTGGAAGTAGGTAGGGTGTAAACGAGTCGAGTCGAGTCGAGTTTAGGCCTTATCGAGCTCGGCTCGTTAGTCGAAAAGCGAGCTCGAGCTCGTCCCTCTATAAACGAGCTCGAGCCGGCTCGATTCAATTTGGCATTTTCCCGCCCGTCCATTGCTCGGCTCGCGAGCTCGTTAATGAGTCAAGTTCGAGCCGGCTCGGCTCACTTACACCCCTAGAAGTAGGTCATGTTTTGACCGAACCACCATAAAATATGGTGTGTTCTTTTTTATTTTATTTTCTACAGTTTATTTTTTTACATTTTATTTCCTATTTTAACTGCTTGGTTGAAAATTTGTTATTGATATTATGTGGTATTGATTATATTATTATCATCACCATTGTAACTTTTAATTAATTTACTAAATTCCAAATCAAGTGATAGTATTACTTCCATATTAGTGAGCCTTAGGTCATTGAGGCCTAATAACCTCCAAGAACTTTCAAGGCGGACGGAGTACATAAAAAAAATTATACCAATGTGACCATGACATAATTGCTAAAAAAATGCTGAATATAAAAAACGAGCTAACAAATCTCATAATTCAGCTTCCTTTAAAGAGGAGGATCGAGTTTGGATACATTTACGAAAAGAGCGATTTCCTCCGAAACCTTTTAAAACCAAAAGCTGATGGACCATTCAAAATAATCAAACTTATATAGAAAAAAGCTTACAAAATTGAACTATCATGAGATATGAACATTTCCGCAACCTTTAATGTATCAGACTTCTCACACTACTATGACTCTGATCAAGATCTAAACATTGCGGACGAGTCTTCACCAACCTGAGAATAATGATAAGATTTTATTTGTTTTAACTTTAAGTATTTTATTTTATTAGGTTTTTATTATTTACTTTCCTTTTATTTTTCTTGATTTTATTTGCTGAATTTTAAATAGGGATAGGATTGTAATTTGTTGCTTCTTTAAATCCTTGGCTTTCTATAAATACATATTGTTCATTATGAGAGATGAGAGTTTTTTCAGTTTTTTATTTCAGATTTTGAAAACCTAAGAGTAAGGGAGAGATCCCATTCCTTGGGGTGAATTTCCCTACAAGTTTGAGAGGAGATGAAGGAAATATGAGAGGGCTATAGGGGAGTTCAGAAATTTTCCAACATCAATCCCCTCGGCCTATTAGCTCTCTCCCACCGATTCCTGCATCTTCTCCACCACCCACCTCTCCATTCCACCCCTTGGATCAACCACCTGTCACGGCCTGGGCTAATTCCAGCCATCCAACTCTCCAAGAACCAGCGGTTGGTGTTTCCAAAGGTGCCAATCAAAGTCTCCAAACAAAGTCTAAATTTTTTATTAAAAAACTGCTTTAAGAAGCAACAAAGAAGCCATCCCAAACGAAGGCTGAATCAACATCTCAGAAGTTTCTTTCTCGTTCTTTTCACTTTGGACTGTTGGAAAAGCTGAAGACAAAAATTGGAAGAAACTATAGCGAACCATCCGTCAAAGAAGATTTTCCAGGAAAAAAAAACAATAGTAACACCGATGGTCATGTGTTGAATCCTCAATTATGTCCTGTTTCTTTCTTTTAAGCTATCAAGGAATTGTTTAGTCATCGAGCTTTCAACCTGACATTCTTTTTTTGGTTTTGAGAACGTAATGCAGGTTTTGTAAGTTAACAAATTTCAGATTTTTTGTTCTTCCAATTGCTGATATTATTGATTACTCGGTGTCACTACTGATGGTCAAAACCAGGATAGCACAGAACCTGCTATAGCCTTTCTAGTTTTCTCATATGTTTTCATTTAGTTTCAGCTATAGATCCTAAAACTATAGTTTGCACTATGGTTATTCAATGCCTAAACTTAGCACCACCCATTTAATCTCACCAACTTAAATTATATACCTAATCTACTTCTGGTTCTTGTAAGTTCAAATTCTAATGAGCTTCTTTGACAATAGGCAGATTTAGATTTCCACTGTAATCCATGGAATGGGCTTCTCAGTTTCAAGGGGAAGAATTATTCCAATAAGCAATTCATTGATGGTATACAAAATGGACATCACAAACTATAAAAATTTTGAAAATGTTTTCACTGTTACATCAATATAAACTAGTATTTTCATATGCAAAAGCAACTTACTTAATTTGTTGGTTGAGAACTTTAGCTGCAAATTAAGAGAAATTGAATTTGAAGCTTGTGTATGTGATATGTATGAATCTACCTTAATTGACTTAAAAGTCCTTAAAAACAAAAAAAAAAATAATTGCACAAAATTTTTCCTTATAGAGGAAATCATCAACAACTTTCTTACCATAATGCTAGATTTTGACATGCATGCACCACAAAAATTTTTTAAAAGCAAAGAGAAAAGGTCATAGTCAAATAGACATCAACCCATAAATAAAATAGTGAAAATATTGCCTTAAATACATCCTTAACATGGGTCTATACAACTAAGTTTCATCGAAAATCACTGTAGCAAGAGTAAAAGAAAGCAAAATGCCAAAAACTTATTGACAGAAACAGTTTAGGGTTATTACAACTGCAAGTAAGAATTAAATTCCAACTCCATGTTCTATGTCAACAAGAGTAATAGAATTAAGAAGAGAAGGATTTAGCATGCAGTTTTGGAGGAGAAATTCTTGACCACTAAATATAGATTCTGGATTAACTATCTCCTTATGCTGGAAGAAGAATGATTGATCCTTGAGTCCATCTTTCTAGCCATGCGAAGAGCTGCTGCTTGTTTTCGCCTTTGGCTGTAGCTCTTTCTTTTGCTGCATTATTCACAAAAATGTTCAATGATTATAGATTCAGGTTTTGTTTGGGATGGCTTTCTTATTGATTTGTAAAGCAGTTTTTTAGAATAAAAAATTTAAAATTTGTACTAAAAAGCTGCTTTAATAAGCAGTAAGAAAGTCATCCCAAATGAAGCCTCAAGCCATAAACTAAAAAGCACTTAATGTAAGATTTGGTATCAAGGGTAGAAAAGCATCCTAGTTATCTCTCAGTAGAATTCTTGAAATGAAAAAAATGCAGACCAATAATGTAACGGAGACAAAAAAAAACACAGTTTTAGCATCAGAAACCTCATGTAAAGGAGCCCAGAAGTGAGCACCATCCCTCCAATTGCCCACTTGACCTTCTCATTCACGGGCAATTTCCTAAACCACTGCTGAAAATCTTCAAGAACTCCATAAGGCTGTTCCCCCATACTTAAAACAGAACGAGAAGCCTTCCAAGAACTAGAAATTGATTCTACGCTCGCTTTTCCTCCATAGCAGTATTGCTTGTCAACATCATGGTTGCCAAACACATCTTGCTTCACAGCAAAACCTGCAAGGTGGCACAGTTCTGTACCATTAGAGGCCCATTCACTTGCTCTACCACAAATAATGTCGCCTAGTCCACAAGGAGACAAAACCTGTTACAATTAGAAATAAATATCTAATAAGAGACCTTAGCATGTTTTGGTCTAGATGCTTTCATAGGAATCTATTATTGAAAGAAACCATTATAAGTCTCATAGGCATGAAATTGAACAGGGATGAAAGAAACCTTATTTCTTGGGTCAATAGAGAAGTATGCACTTGAGCAATCTTGAAGGATCATATTGCAAAAGGAGGCACATATCAGTGGTGGCCCAGGCTGAACACCAATAAGAGGATCACAAACTGAACACTCCAGCAGTTCCCATGCATGCAAACATTCTTGGCTAGCTTCTCCAAAAGATGCCAACCTTCGTACAAATTCCAAGACACGATAGGTCTGAACAACATCACAACAAGTGTTCTGGCGGAAAACCCGGCAAACTGCTAAATCTCTGGGCCCCTTGGTCACTTTCCTGGGGGGTTTCCCCTCCGTTAAAAATGGATGAAAATGGCCTCCAGGAGAAATACATAATCCGCCTGACTGACCTGAATCACAATGAACATTATTATGTTCAATATATTAATTCCAAAACAACAGGTGTATCTTGATTATCACAGCTCAAACATCTGTGTTTTGCCTTTTCTCTTTTGGCAACACTAACGAGTATGCACCATGTGAAACAATTCAGTTGTTCATATAACCCTCTAAGTTCATAACTACTTCTTTAAAACTTATGGTCGTTATGCATTGGCTCCTTAAACTAAAACTAGTAACATATCGTACTATTCATTCATACTCAAAAATATGAAATCAAGTAGTTAAGGTAAGGTTAATATATTTATAATAATTATTATATTATTTACATATAATTAGAAGGTGATATAAGACTCATAAAGTTGTTTACTCCGCTGAGAAACCTTTTCCAGAAACTTACAAATCCAAGTAACAACCAGAGATGTACAGGTCACTCAATCACTCAAGCTAGAGGTCCAGGATCATTAAGAATGGAGCCATAATGGCCTAATTTTAAGGGCAGCAGTACTTCAAACGAAATAAGAAATATAAAAGCTATATAACACTTAAATAGTTTAAATTTCAATAGAAACATGAGGACAGTTGTTTCCACTTCTAATGTCTCTAAATGATTTACAAGTATCTATTCATATGTGTAAATATATCACAATATGCAGTATTAAATTTGTTATCAAGCATATATCTAAATGGAAAGTACGGATTCAGGAGGCTTCCAAATGCTTACACTTAATCAAGGGACCTTCCACGTGAAAACAATAAAAAATAGTTTAAATAAATATGTGGTAAGTAATATAAAATTAAATAAAAAGGAAAAGAATGAAAAACATTTAAAAACAAAATTGTCAAGTGATTATAAGCTTTTCATCAAGCATGCCCATACCATTATAATTTCGTTTGCATTGGTTTATTATTAAGTGTTGATGTTCCCATACATGTCAATAATGTGTTATAGCTCATAATATAATGTAGTACAACATCAACATTAATTATATGACAAGGCACAATAAAACAAAACAACGCGCATTATGTGCGCGATAGTGATAGCGCACGTGGCATGCACTGCTTTATTTATTTATTTAAATTACTAAAATGGATAAAAAAAATTATTGGAGATTGGACATAGCATAATGAGTGTTTTCATTGTCAAGTTCAGCTCTTATGCAATTGTATGTATTTTATTAGATCCAACTGAATCAACAAGGTAGATCTCCAAGAAGTAGAAATCCTTATCTTCCTTCATATGTGGGTTTAGCCTACAATGCTCAAGAGATAGATGATAATGTTAGTTTTTATAAATATTTATATTTTAAATAAGTTAAAATAAAGAAAGGTCATTTTTAATATTTCTAACCAAGTCTTTTTAGGTCTAGTGGTCTACCTCTATATTTCTTAACATAAGTCAAATATAATACATCTATTTTGCTAACCAAGTCATTGGAAGGCCGTCGTTTTATGTGACCAACCCATCTAAGGCGGCACTCTCTAATCTTATCTTCCACTGGAGCTACTCCAACCTTTTCAAGTATATGCTCATTTCGTATCCTGTCTTTAAGAGTAAAGCCACTCATCCACCTGAGCATCCTCATCTCTGCAACACTTAACTTAATATTATGCTTCTCTTTTAATAGCCAACATTCTGCACCATATTCCATTATTATTATATCAAAAAATAAAATTTATGGATCTTAGTCATAGGCCCTGTAAGAGGGAGCATTATCTCCCATGTAATCATAATAAATATGTCTCTTATACATATACCCATATAACTTAATGAATAAACCTCATGTTTATTTCAAATTAAATATTAATGATGCTTAGCTTAACAATATATATGCAAAAATAATAATTGAATGTGAAAAATATCAGTCACAAAAGAGACTCATTTATAATATTCATTAATGAAATAAATCAAAGGAACTAAAACTCATATGATCAACATGATCCCTAAACTTTTATGATGGCATGTCTTTAGTCAAATTTCCAGCTATCATCAACTCAACGCTCACAAATTCAATAACCATTGTATTCTCTTTAACATGTTCTCTTATAGCTAATATCAATGTGCTCACTTTGACTACCACTTTATTGTTCTTAGCCATAAAAATTACAGCTAAATTATCACAATAATAATATATCATTAATGTTCTACATATAGAGTCCACAAGTCTAAGCCTAGAAAAAAAAACCATGCAAGGTGGCCTCAAAACAATACAAACTCAACCTTTATAGTAAAAGAGACAATCAAAGTTTGCTTAACACTCTTCCACCTCTAAGCTCCACCAATAAATATAAAGATGTATCCATAAGTTAATTTATGGAAATAAAAATAGTCAGCAATGTCAAAATCAGAGTGGCACAACAAAAGCATAGCTCATATAGTCAAAGTGTTAAAATTTAGTTTAAAGTAGTGCCCAAAAATAATCTTGAGGAGGACATGAGAAACAATCCATAGTGAGTGTTTTCATTACCAATTTCAACTCTTATGCAAATGTACTTATTCTATTATATCCAATTGAATCAACATGATATATCTATCGGAAGTAGAAATCCTAATCCTGCTTCATACATAGGTTTAGCATACAATGCTCAAGAGCTAGATGATGATTTATCAAACCAAACAGAGCTTATAAGGTTAGCTTTCTTATTTTAAGAAACAGAGTTATATATTGTTGTTGATTCACTGGTTAGTCATGTCTTTGCCCTTACGTTGAGCATATTATATGTTTTATATTTTTCTCCCGTTTATCAAAAGAAAAAAAAGACAACAACAACAACTAATGTTATTTTTCTCATTATGCTTACACTCTGGCCATTTCACCTTTTTTTCATTTCAATAGACATCTAAACGTTCATTAAATGCCAAAAGATTTCTTCCTAACTGAAATAAATTGCCAATTCTAACATGTTCTTGTTTTAACTATCTAATTCGTGGATATGAGTGCCAAGGCAAAGCCTTGAGAGAAGAACGGGACAGATCGTGAAATTCTGTAAGACTTTGAGATGAAAGAGATAGAATAGATGATAGGAGAAACAGAAATAGCCGGAGTGAAGGAGAGAGAGAGAGAGAGAGAGAGACATACCGGCTGATACACGGTTCAAAACAGCGAAGAGAAACAGCGTAGCGAAAATTTCGAGAAACATACTCGCTCTATACACAAGCACCATCAATAACCATTCTCGGCCATCTCCCTCCCGCTGTTGTACGGTCGCCGGCGCCGGCGGCTTCTGTCCAACCAAAAAAAATACACTAACAAGCCAGTAACCCTACGAGGCAATGGAGCTGCCGCTGCTTCTGCTCGCCTATTCCAGCTATAATGTAATAATATAAGGAAAATTTGATTTTATATGCGTCAAATGCTCTAAAATGGATAAATGCCCCCTTATTTATTTTATTGAGCAACATATTAAAAAATTTTAAGTAAAATACCTCACTTTGGATTGTGAACTTCTGAACAAAATTAACCACAGTGGAATCCTCCTACAATTATTAATTTAAAGAAGTCTTGATAGTTATGTTATAATAATAGATTATTATATAAACTAACATTTAAAATATAATAATTTGTATGAAATTATATTTTCATTCATTAATAAAGGCAATTTTTTTTGTGTGAGTTCTTTATTATTATTCTAGCTCATCATCTTTGATGTTCTCTCTTTAAGATGCTCTACAAATCTCTTCACTAGCTTTATGATGACTTCATAAGCTTAACACCTTAGTAATATGGCATATCCAACAAGAGAGTACTGAGCTAGGGCTTTCTTTTTTAGAATAACATTCATGTAATACATTATATCCTTCTTTACCCTTTTTAGTATCCTCTTTCACAATTGTCTGCCTTGTGGATATCCGCTTATTATTTTCTTATATTTAACAGAGGCAAGCATCCCAATAAAAATTATAATATGATTATCATGGTCATATTATTCATAAGATAACCTTAACCTAACTTTCATATATAATTCATCCCAATGCACTTTGTAAATGTTTAATCAAAATTTGCACTTTTGAAGTTGTTGTCTCCATGCTATACATTACCTATTGCTTGTGTTCATTTTCTTGGATTCTTTCTCATGTGGAAATTCTTCAAACCCTAACTCAGTGAACAAGGCAAATTCAACTATCCATTTTTTTTGTTCTTACCTCTAATGTTGAACACAATATAATATCCCTCATTATTTTCATTATTTATCATCCTCCTTAATGATTTATGAAATAAGGCCACATGGAATTATAGTTCAAGAGGCTTACATAACTAAGTGTAGGGTGATTGTCTTGGCTTTGCCAATGAGATCATAAGTGTTAATTTTGTACATGTAATAATTTGGATTTTGTAGAAAAGATATGAATGAAAGTGCAATTCTATTTTGTTTTGGAAACCAGTGTGCTATGATAGATATATGAAATTGCAAGTAAATATGTATATGTGAGAGGTAAATTCTCATGAGATATGAAATAAACTAATGGTTAGACAATTGTTATTGTTTGGATCATATAGTTAGCATTGGTTTATTTTTGCTTGAAGATTGAAGAAAATTTAGGTTTAAAGATTTAATCATTTCATTAGATCTCGGTGCATTATAATAAGCCTCAATCTGTCTAAACACTTTATCCATTATACCCCAGCTTCATATATGACCCAAGTAGTGCAATGTTGTTTATAAATATGATTACTACTTAACAAAACAGCTCTGATGAGATAATTCCACGTAAGATGATGAGGGAAAAGTAAAATGGTTGGAAGCATATTCAAATCATGATTAAATATTGTTCAAACCTTATTTGAACATTGTTCGAAGCATGTTCAATTATAGCTTGAACCTTGTTGAAACTTTACTCAAACCATATTAAGTCCAAACATTATTTAAATATAGCTCGTGTAACAATCTAAAAATGAGAAATATTTTAAATTATGATTTAAAAAAAAAAAATTATTTGAACTATAACGCTTCGACGCTGCATTAGATTTGAGTCCACAACAACCCCAGAAAATGCCGCTATGACGTTTGGCTCTAAGTTCTGCAATAATTTTGGATTTCACATACAATGCTACGATGCTAGGCAACTAACAATGCTTTTAAATATTTTTTTTATTTTGTATCTAAGCATTTAAATATTCCAGACACCCCCCCCCCCGTTGTAAAAAATATTATGATCATTGTAAGTAATTATCCTTTTACTTTTTTTTTTTAATTTTGATTTCTACGGATTTTCTTTCCTAAATTTTTAAAAATACATTATATCATAATTTCGTAATCTTTCTGCGTAACTTTTGATATATTATAGAGTTGATCATTATGAATTATTTGATGTGATTTTATTGCATTCTTTCACCTATTAAATATGTGTATAGAAATTTCTGGATAAAATGAGTGGGAAAAAAGACATATTGGAAACATGTTGAAAAGTGATATATTGCGATTTGACTCGATACGACTATAAATGTAAACTTTACTAAAAAGATTGCTATAAATGAGTTATACAATAATCTAATATTTCTACTAATTTGAATATGATATGATGTATGGATATGATGTACTGATTGATACAATATATATGATATAACAAACTCATATAATTTCCTCAAGATCCACATGGTACACTGATGGGAGTCAATGGATATGAGTCATAAGGAGTTGGCGATTGATTGTGATTCAAAAGGAGTCGGGGCGGCTGCCTCGTGATTCAAAAGAAGTTATAAGGAGTTCATTGATTGAGAGTCATAAGTGCAACAACAAAATATAATATATCCTCGACTAAACATCTAATAGAAAATTGAGTAATGTGTTGATATTAATTAATGATATTGATTGCTGATTACTGAATACTGATACAAATTATTATTATTGTTTACCATTATTGAATATAAATACTTATACTAATATATAATTGATGGATTGACGAAGATGATTAAATGATATGACTAAATAAAACTAATTCTATAATAAATACCGAATAATTGATTGATACAATTGATCGGTACATAAAACATATATATTGATTTATAATTTTTCTGATATGATTTAAAGCATATTGTTTCTACTTCACCTTGCATTAGTTTTAGTTTTATATTTTTAATTAGTTGCTCGGATATTCGCGAGAGAGAAACAAAAAAGGAAGAATAAGGAAGAGGTTTGGCTGCTGCGAGAGGGAGGAAGGCCTTTGGTGGCCATGAGAGAGGCGATGAAAGGTTTAGAAAGATGCTATAGGTTCCATTCTTCATCTTAAATGACAAAAAGGAAGGCAATAAGGGTGGCAAGATTTCAAAAGGTAGAGAAACCGAGTGATTTTCCGGGATTGAAGAGAGGTTCCACTGCGCAAAAGGAGAAGAAAGCACATGAGTAGGAAATCACAAGAGGCTCGATTCTATTCGTTGCACGCAAGAGGGGAGCGACAGCTGGTTCGAGTGGAAGACTTAGACCGGACTTTGATCACCGTTCGCGAAAAAGGAGCGGGGAGTCGGTTCGTGCATAGTGCCTGGACCGAACAATTCAATTTATAACACAAGGTAAAGGTAAAGAGCGTGTGGATTGAAGCTTAGTTCTAATAATGTTTTAGTTTTTTTTTTAATTCTTCCTGTTTATATATATTCTTTTATTGTCTATAAATACAATTGTATATATTATTTTGTACTCTATTGACAAAATATAAATATTAACTACTATAATAATGTGAATTGTATTTTTCATTCTCTATTGGTTTTGTTTAATGCAATTAATCTGCTCTAGATATCAAAACGATTTGGATGTTTATCGATATGGGTATTAAATAAAAGTTAAAAGAAATTATTTCACTTTAGATCTCGGGACGTGGCAACTAGAATTTTGTTCAAATCTTATTACAATTATGCCCGAACATTGCTAAAATCTTATTCAAATATTGTTTGAATAATCAAACTTTGTTCTCCTTGCTATAAATATCAAACAAGGTTCAAACATATTTTTAACGTGTATTATAATGTCTAATGCTAGTTTGAGTTTAGGAATTAGAATGCAATTGACATTTTCAAATCTAAATAAATAAATAAAAACATATCATTATTAATTTTGAACAGGTGATGATTGAATGGTTAGAATTGACATTATGAAACTTTATCGCACAACAAACCCACAAACTTTGAAAATGTTGGAGACGAGCAAGATACTAAGAAGATAAATGTTGAAGCAACTCCCTTGTTTGAAAGCTCATGTGACTCATCAATGAGTGTTTAGACTTTTATTCATATATAATAATGATAATTTGATCAGAAACAAAGTTTTGAGCAGATTTCTTTAAGAAAATAATGAATAGACATATTTGAGCAATTACAATTATTAATAGACATTTAAAATAAAATTTCTAAATATTTATCAATGTATTTGAAAAAAATATTCCATTTTTTATTAATTAAAAAAAAAAAGACAACACAAATTAACACTTCATAAGTCTTATATGAGCTAAAATTTTGATCATATAATTTGATCTATAAATTTAATAAAGAGGATATTAAAATTCATGATAATTATCAAAATATATATCAACTAAGCTAGTTATCACTTATTATTTAATATTTATTTTTGTTCAAACTTCAACATACTTATTTCTGCTGTGGCATTCCAATAAGAAATTCTTTATACAATTTTTTTTTTCTTAATTGTTTTTTATATTCGATATATATATTTACAAAATTATACAAGTCATTTAATAAATATAAATAAATAAAATTATGGCATGGAAAGTAGGACAGAGGGACTTTTGGTGTGTTCTCCCGTTGGGTGATAAGATCACGAGAGCTCCTCGTGCGAAGCAGTTTTTGGGCGAGAAGATAGAAATCTCTATGTTTTTGGCGTTCCGTGGTCAATTCGGCGTGGTGGGATGGAGCCTGAAGTGGTAAATTCGGAGATGCTGTTGCCGCAGAATTTCTCATTTAAGAAGGTGCAGATGGGTGATAAATACCCCAAAGGGCATGCTCGAGGGCGCCACTGGAAGCACCTTAAGCAGATCCTCCAAGCCGAGAACTTCCAATCCTACCCTACCGACGAACCCAACTGTAACCATTTCTCTTTCTTTATCTTCCCCAATTCCTCTCATAGTTTCTTTCTCATATTCGTTTTATTAGGGGTTTCTTTGGGGTTTTCAAGTTTGGAACCTTGGATGCATGTTAGGGCAGGCCATAGCTTTCTTGGTTTCTTCGGTGAGGGACGGGGCTTGTTTAAACACGTTTTTTGCTTAAAATGATGGCGTTGTTTTTTTGATATATAGATGCGTATTTAATAAGGTCAGGCTTTTGAGAGAATGGGCTTAATATTAATACCTCATAAATCGTAATCTCTCATACATAGCCATGCATGCATGTTGGCTACACTCGATGAACTTCCAAGATCCTAACGACTGAGATGCAATGGGAAGGCATGCATCATCATTGTCTTGATTGACTGCGGGGTTTCATTTATTGGTTTATCGGCTAGTTTGATGCATGCAGGACTGGATTGTCCAACTTTTCATGAATGTCTTACAAACCTTACCAGCAGTAAAGAATGGTTTCCTTATCGTTCTTCTTGAGAGGAACGGAGGAAACACAGCAAGAAGCGAGAACAGGAAAAGGAAAAATAAATGTGTATTATTGTAAATCCGGTTACATATTACAAGAGCTCATATAAATAGACGTGGTAAGACAATGTAGAGGACACGTCATCTTGATGACGTGTATAGTATGCTAACATGCCCCCTCAAATTGAACATTCGTTGGTTGAATGTTTAATTTGTTTCTTAGTTCCAAGAAACAACTGGATGAGAGAGGTTTGGTAAGGATGTCTGCTGGTTGTTCTGTAGAGTTGATACGAGCAATGGTGATGTTGCCGGAGTTGATATGATGATGAATGAACTAATAGTCGATCTCAATGTATTTTGTGCGAGCATGAAGCACAAGATTTTTGGCTATTGCAATGGCGGAGATGTTGTCGCAGTGAATGATTGTGGGAGATTGTTGCGTGATATGAAGTTCGTTGACGAGGCGTCTAAGCCATAAGACGTCCGAAGTGGTCGAGGAGAGATACATGTACTCGGGTTCTGTTGAGGATTTGACGACGGTTACTCGCTTTTTGATGGACCAAGAGACAAGGTTGTTTCCCAGGAAAATGTAGAAACTGGAAATGGATTTTCGATCTGTGGAGTCCGAAGCCCAGTCCGCATCAGCGCAAGCTCTGAGTTGGAGATCACCCATGGTGATAGGAAGACCGAGGTGTAGAGTTCCTTTGATGTAGTGGAGGAGACGTTTGAGCATCTGAAAGTCTTGGATAATGGGAGCTTGCATATGTTGACAGATGAATTTTGTGGCAAAGGCGATATCAGGACGAGTGATGGATAGGTATTGAAGTGATTCTGCAAGCTTGCGGTAGAGATTAGGATCGTGAAACGGTTGAGTTGATCTTGGGGAGCTGTTGGACTTCGTGTGATGGGAGTTGGAGCAGATTTGCAATCGGTGAATTCAGCTATTTGAAGTAGTTTAGTGGCGTAGTGCGTCTGATTGAGAAAGAACCCGTTTATTGTGCGCAAGATTTGTATGCCGAGAAAGAGAGATATTTAACCAACTTGTTTGAGAGCAAAATTGGATTGCAAGCTGTGAAGAAGAGATTGAATTTTGATGGGTCATTTCCTGTAATAAGAAAGTAATCAACATAAATCAATATGTAAATTTGAATGTGTTTTTAAAGAAATATAAGTAATGAAGGATCAGAACGACTAAACCCGAAGCCGAAAGAAAGCAGAAAATCGGTGAGCTTCTGGAACCATTGCCGAGGTTCTTGTTGGAGGCCATAGAGCGACTTGTGAAGCTTGCACACCATATTTGGAGATTGATTATCTATGAATCCTGGAGGTTGGCGCATATAAACTTCTTCTTGAAGATCGTCATGTAGAAAGGCGTTTGAAACATCGAGTTGAAGCGTTGGCCAGTTGTGTTGAAGAGCAAGAATGAGAAGAATTTGTATAGTGGGCATCTTCGCTACAGGGCTAAAGGTTTATGTATAGTTGACTTTGAATTGTTGATTGTAGCCCAGAGCGACTAAACAAGCTTTATGTCAGTCGACTTGATCGTTAGGGAGGCATTTTGTTTTGAATGTCCACTTTCACCCGAGAATTTGTTGATTTGGTGGAGGAACTAGAGACCAAGTTCCTTGACGTTTAAGAGCTAGAAATTCTTCTGTCATAGCGTTTCGCTAGTGAGGAAGTTTGATGGCTTGAGAGTAGGTTGTGGGAGTGATAGAGGGTTGAGTAGCAGCTAACAGAGTGAATATTTGCTTGGGTTGGTGATGCCATATTTTAAATGGGTTTGCATGAGATGAGTGGGTAGGTGAATAGAAGAAGGGCGACTGGATTGGGAAGAGATGGTAGTCCCTGATGTGGAAGAAGAGGGAGATGTTGACGGAGTCTGAGTAGGAGTGGGAGGAGAAGTGGATGGGATCGGATAATTGTTGGAGTTAAAAGAATTGGCTGTAGTGGAGTGAGGTATGAGAAGGGATGGAGTGATGAATGTGCTGTTTGAAGGGAAAGGAGTGGTTTGCGAAGTGGTAATGGTTTTTTAGGGAAATATGTGTTCGTGGAAACACTTATATGGATCTTGCCTGTAGAGGGGTTGAAACACTTATATCCTTTGTGAGCCAAATAGTATCCTATAAAAATACATTCCTGAAAGCGAGGAGATAGTTTGTCAAAGACGTATGTTTGAAGCCAAGGGAAGCACAGACAACCGAATGTTTGTAGGCGAGAGTAATTTGGAAGTTTGCCATGAAGAAGTTTGTATGGAATGTTGAGGGAAACAACTTTGGACGGCATAAGGTTTATAAGATAATTTGTGTTGGAGACAACCTCAGCCTAGAAATTGTGAGAGAGATTCGAGGTATGAAGGAGAGTACGAGTGAGGTCAAGAAGGTGTCGATGTTTTCGTTCGACAAGGCCATTCTGTTCGGGAGTGTGAGGACAACTGATATGATGAGTTATACCAAATTCATGAGATAGTTTTTGAAGATGTTGCTAGTGAACTCACCTCCACCATCAGATTCGAAAAATAGAGGTGTATATTTGAATTGATTTTGAATGAGATTATAGAAATGAGTAAATTTTGTGAATGTTTTTTGCTTGGAATGCATAAAGTAAATCCAAGAAAATCTTGTGCAATCGTCAATAAAGTAAACGTAGTATTTGAAACCTTCTAGAGATTGTTGTGGGGCGGGTCCCCACATATCAGAATGAATTAAATCAAACGGGTTTAAAGAAATAATGACACTTTTATTAAAAAAACAGTTTGTGACTTTTGGCCACATTCCAATTCGTATGAATATAAGAGGAAGATACTGATAAAATTTCATAAATCTGTTGAGAAAGAAAGTTGAGAGATCTATTGTTCGGATGGCCTAATCTTGCATGCCAGAGGTGCGGAGTAGATGGGTGGGCTTGAAGAGCAGTTGGTTTAGAGTCGTTGGACAGGCTGATTTGATATTGACCTTTTTGAAAACGACCATGAAGAAGCGAACGATTGTCCTGAATGTCCTTGATGAAAAAACCATTAGCGTCAAAGTAGTTTGAAACAAAGTTGTCAGATGTAAGTTTGGAATCAGAAAGGAGGTTATCGGTGAGGGAAGGTACATGAAGTAAATTGCATAAATGAAGCTTACGTGGTGTGTCCGAAAGAGGGAGCAAACCCTGGTTTGAATGTTGAATTGGCATATTGTTGTCATTATCTATAGATACGGTGTCGGCACCTTGGTACTAGGCGGATTGTTGGAGGTTGGTATGGTCCGGGGTGAGGTGTGTAGAAGCACCTGAGTCAAGAATCCAATCTTGAGTGACAGACGGTGAGGGTTGAGCAAGAAGGGCACGAGGTGGTTGAGTAGAGGTGGAAGCGTATTTAAAATTGCAACGATGCCAACAATTGAGCGCAACGTGGACGTTCTTGCTGCAAATTTGACAAGTCGGCTTAGAAGAAGGGGGGGGGGAAACGATGTAGGTGCAGACAAATTGTAGGAGGTTTTCTTGGCATTGAAGAATTTGTGTTGTGCATGACCTCGGGAAGGTTTATTGCTGTCCGCATAGAGAACAAGTGGATTAGAATTGGAATTGGCATCTTGCAATTGTTCTTGTTGAATATTAATTTCTTCACTACAAAGAAGGGAGTAGAGGGTGTCAAGATCAATGGGTTGAAGAGATGTGCGAATCGTGATTTTGAAGGAGTTGTAATTGGATGGAAGACCATTAAGAATATAAAGAATGATATCTTTCGTGTCCAGTTTGTCGACGATTGTTTTGATTTGGGCGAGATATTGCTGCATGGATAGATTTTTCATCTTGATGTGATGAAGTTCGTTCTTGAGTTGAATAACTCGAGAACGATTCGTTGGTTGTAATCGGCATTCAAGAATGAGCCAAATGTCATGGGTGGTGGTAGAAGAAAACACATAGGGAAGAATAGAAGGGGAAATAGTAGAGAAGAGGGCAGAAATTAAGTTACTATCAATGAGACACCAGAGTTTGTAATCAGAGCTGTCTTTGTCGGACGAAGGAGAGGATCGGTGAGGTGTCCGGCAAAGCCGTTCGCCTTGAAATGCTAGAGGATTTGCAAGCGCCAGATTGCGTAGGTCTATGCAGTAAGTTGTGTGGGAACTAAATTCTTGATGTTTGATATCAAGAATTTGAGAGTTGGGATGACGAAGCTAGAGAGGGAGGCGAAAAGAATGAAGGAGGAAGGAAGAGAGGCAGCCGATTCTTGATCAACCATGGGAGGTCTCTGATACCATGAGAGGAACGTAGGAAGCACAACAAGAAGCGAAGAACAGGAAAAAGGAAAATAAATGTGTATTATTGTATATCCAGTTACATATTACAAAAGCTCATATAAATAGACGTGGTAAGACAATATAGAGGACACGTCATCTTGATGACGGGTATGGTATGCTAACACTTCTTTGTATTTTTAAATCTCTCGCTGCCTCCACCTCTACCTCCAATCAACCGCACTTTTTATCATATTTTTCACTTTTATCTACTATAAAATAT